AAGTCCTTCAATCGTTATTTCTGTTTGTTTGAATAAAATCCCTGGTATATAGGGACGGGTGAGTCGATCATTGATTCTTCCCTAGAATAGGTATTTCCTTCTTTTTCTCTGGATTTCAGTTTGTATGTAGGTTATATAAATCCTTTGTTTACTTAAGAAAACTCAAGTCTGATAGCTATTTCAGTCTCTCTAACCCAAACTCAACAATGCCATTAGAGTCCACACAGATAGCAAACATGTGTATATGGGTGATGTAGTATATGTGTCGATCACAGGGAGACGATGATTTAAGTGCAAATCTGAGATCATGAACTAACTACTCGAACACCACTTTGATGGGATTTTCAATAATTTGTACAACATCGTAAATAAAGAAAACAATAAAAACTAATAATTAAATTAAAGACACGACTTCCCCCATAATACAAAACGAAACCTAATCTAGACTATCTACACTAAACGAGACTTCTTAAGGTTGATGACCTTCTTTCAAGGTGAATTAACCGTACTAACTAAATGGATTGACTATTTTAATGAAGGCCAACTTAATTAGTAGAAGCATCCCAACTCAAACTTATACTATTTTCATGGAAAAGTGGAAATCATTAACTGTTGATTCTAAGGGGCCGTTTACTAAACACTTATTTGGTAAGTGCTTACCGGATAAATTTTCTTATCGAATGAACATGAGAAGGGCCAAGAATCTTACCGGGTAAGAACGATAAGAAAGATGGAGAGTGTTACCCGGTAAGTGAGAATGACGACTCTTACCCAGGTAAGCGCTTACCTATGTAAATTGTTGCATTCGATATGTTTTGATGTACAAAAATCTTGCGCATCAAAATAAATCATAGTGTTGACTTCTATCGGTAAACGCTTACCGGGTAAGCAATTGGGTAAATGGCCCATAACTCAAAGTCCAACTCTCATTAAAACTTAAACTAAGTAGGTAAATGATATACAAACTATCACCAACAATGTATATCTGATAAGTGTTAATTTGTTAACCATATAGTTTTTATTTTCTTACCATTTTTTTATTGGCCAAAAATACCCTTTTTAGTTTCTTTTGTCTATGTTTTATGGCATTTTTTATGTTTATAACTAGCTATGAATCATTAGAAGGTTATTGTAATTTGAATCTAAATTGTGCTTTAAATTTAACTTCTGTAGATATGGACTAGTACTACAGCTTTATGGAGGAATCAGTTGTTGTTAATTTCAATTAGAGATGGCCAAAAACCGGTCTCGGGTCGGTCCCAATCGGTTCTCACCTTTCTCATAACCGGCCATAACCGGTCTCGGCGTAACTGGTCCCGGTCTCGGTCCCAGTCCCTTGAAAATGATAGGACCGGTTAAGATACTTCATAACCGGTTATGGGCCGTCGGTCCCGGTCCCGGTCCCAACCGGTCCTTGCATTAAAAAAATAAGATTTTTATTTTTTATTTTTTTAATGATATATATTTTTAAAACATTATAAAATTTATAATTTGGTCACTCAAATACACATTAAAAATACGTTTTAATATAATTAAAATTACGTTTTCTTATAAAAATAAATTATAAAATTATTTAAAAATACATTTATTTATAAAATTATTTGAATTTTCGGGCCGGGCCGGGCCGGTCCATAGTTGTTCCCATAACCGGTCCCGGTCCCACGAAACTACCAAAAACCTCAACCGGTCCCGGTTTTCAGTCCCATAACCGGTCCTTACCGGTCCCGGTCCCGGGCCGGTCCTTTGTCGGTCTCGGTCCTTACCGGTCCCGGTCCCGGGCCGGTCCTTTGTCGGTCCCGGTCCCGATCCTTTGTCGGTCCCGGTCCTCTGGTTGTACCGGGCCGGGCCGATTTGGCCATCTCTAATTTCAATGTTGGAGTGATATTGGAGGTTTATGCACTGGGGTTATTAATGTTTCTTGGGTCGAGCCTTTTTTTTTCTACCGGGCTTCATCTCTTGGGCCATGACTGATGCTTTAGTAAGACTGAAAGAGCTTACATCATCTTGTACTTTTGTTATTTAGAGCCCAAAAATTCATGGTAGTATAAATATGTGTGTTTTGTGAGACTTAAAACCAACCTTTTGGCTATGACTCTAATGTTCTCTCTAGCTTTCGGTTTAAGAACCGAATTTTTTGTTCTCTATTTCAGTTTGGAGTAACTGATCAAGTATTGTTTATTTTGCAAGCTTTTGTCTACTTCATCTAATTTCATTTGCATGTTTCATTTAATTTTTCGGTTACGATTTGGAATTAATTTATCATCGTTGCAATAAATTGGATTTCATCCTTTGTGGCTCATGATTAATTCCCTTAGATAAAAATCTGTTTTTCAAGTGCTTAAAAGTAACTCTTCACTTTTGTGTTTCTTGTGCTAAAATTAGGGATGACAAAAACCCCCCGCACCTGACGAGGACCCAATACTCGACCTTGGTTTGACCGAGGATGGGGAATCCCTGAATTTATAAATCGAGGATGGGGTCAGGGATGAGAATACCCTTCATCCCCGACCCTGAACTTTAACCCGAGTATTAATTATACATTTATATATATATATATATATATATATATCCTCTATATATATATATATATATATATACACCAAGTATAATAATATAGGAAGAAAATCAGTGAGTATATATAACGTATAAATATAATCCCCAATTACCCGATGGAGATGAAATCTTATACCTTGACGGGAATAGGGATTGGAAAGCAAGGATAGGGATGGAGTTGGGGATTGCGAAATACTCCTACGTCCTAATTAAGTGTTCACTTTCAAAAGTAAGTGTTTACTTTCTAATTCTATCCTTAATTTTGAGATGAAGAAATCCCTCACTCCCTTTAATTTCTATTATTAAGAAAAATTGTCATTTAGTTAATTAAAAAGTGTAATAATTATATATTTTTAAAAATTGTTTGCTTTTTTCATTGTAGACATTTATTTTGGGACGGAAGGGTACCTAAAAGTGAATGCACTCTTCACTTTTATTGTTAAAATCTGACTAAGGGGCTGTTTACCCAAATGTTTACCCGGTAAGTGTTTACTTATAGGAGTCAACACTATAATTTATTTTGATGAGTAAGATTTTAGTACATCAAAACATACTGAATGCAACAATTTACCGGGTAAGTGCTTACCTGGGTAAGAGTCGTAATCTTCACTTACCGTGTAAGACTCTCCATCCTTCTCATCACTCTTACCCGGTAAGATTCTTGGCCCTTGTCATGTTCATCCGATAAGGAAATTTATTCGGTAAACACTTACCAAGTAAGCGTTTAGTAAACGGCCCCTAAGATTCTGAATCTAGTTCACCACTTTAGGGTTGCCAAGTGAAGTGATTTTTTTTGTTTGTTTAGGGTCATTAGTAAACGACACGAGAAAATTYGCGAGCTATTTGAGATCGACTCGGTCAAARCTCGACTYGACTAGGCTCGCYTSAAACTYGTGTTYGACTCGACATWTAACGAGTCGAGTCAAGCTACCCAATACTTGACTCGAAAAGCTCGTGAGATACTCGATCTTTTTATATATAATTAATTTTAAAGTATAATCAGTTTTATAATATAACTTGTAAAATATAAATAATAAAAAAGTCTTGTTTTTTTAGAAATTTGAAAAAAAATGTGCATTTTTTTAAAAACTAATCGATTCCTATTTTTAATTAAAATCATTATTAAAAAAAGACAAAAAAACTATAAAATAGTTGGTGGAGTTGTCTTACATTAGAAGAGAGATGGTAAAGGAAGGGTGAATAGATGTTATAAAAAGAGAGGGGTGAATGAAGTTTATAACTTTATATTTTTGATGATGAAGTTTGGAGAGGATCCATTTAGTTTTATAAAAACTAAGAGAACACCTTTAAGTTTTATAATTTATAAGAGAAGACACTAAAATTTTATAAATTTCAATGGGTGAGTTTCGTTAGAGCTTGATTTGACTTGGAGTTCGAGCTTCAAACAAGTTTGAGTTCAAGTTTAATAAATTACAATTGCTATGTTAACTATGCACAAGTTTTTGAGTCAAGTTCGAGCTTGAAAAATGACTATTGAGTTTGAGTCGGGTATATCAATAGTTGAGCTCGACTCACATCATTTAATACCCCTAGTCGTCAGGCTTATGCTTGATTTATATGATTCAACTCTTATGTGTACCCAAAATAATTAGGGGTGATATTTTTGTACGAAAAACAAACCAATCAATATATGTACCAACCGAACCAATTAAATCGATACCAATTTTAGTTGGTACTAGTTACAATCAGTCAATAGTACCATACCAAGTATGCTAACTTGGTTGGTAATTGGTACACGGTATTGGAAGTCACCTACCATTATAGTACCATATTACTGACTTATTTATTTATTAATTAAATTAATTAATTATAAAATAGTTATTGTTTTTTAAGTTTTGTATCATCAACTTTCTTGTTCGGAGATTTGAATGGTTGGAAGCTTTATTCCTTACAATTAAGAACTCTTAAACTTATCTGCAAACACAAAATATTACTCAAAATTTGAACAAAATGACAAGTTTTCGCACATGKAACTTGAAGTTGGTACAAAACCAGTACCAACATGTACCAACTGAATTTTTTTTGTACCAATTAAGTTGGTACCAAGTACAGTTGGTTGGTATGCTGAATAAAACTTTAATACCACTTGTAATTGGTTGGTATACAGTATTGGTGAAAAAACTTGGTATCGTCCCAAGTCCATCCATAGGTAGGGATGGTAAAAGAACCCAAAACCGATGGTGAAAACCGAAAACCAAACATTTCGGGTTGGGTTCGGGGACGTCGTAACAGGGAGGGGGCGGGGATCTAGGAGATTTTCGGTGACCTTAATGGGAACGAGGGCGGGAACGATATTAAGTGGGCTTTTAATTAGACATTAAAAAATTTCAAGCCCAAACCCAAATRGAGTAATGGASTAATTTATTCAATTAGATAGAAACGGATTGCAGTTAGATACTTGGATCCATAAATCCAATTCTGATCGTGAAATCAAGAAAAAGGAGTCGACCATACACGGATGACGGACCACAATCGCTCAAACCTCGATCGACAATCGCTCCCTATCGCTCGGGTCGTGAACTCTCGGTCTCAGTCGCTCTCAGCTCCGCTCGTGGTCTCTCCTTTGTCGCTATCGGTCTCTCCTTAGTCACAGGTAAATAGGTTATGTTTCTTCCATCTATGTTTCTTGATTTTGCTCACAACACAATTCTGTTAGTTCGTATTATGTTTCTTGATTTTTTGTTCCTAATCAATGTTTCTTCCATCTGTGCATAATGTTTAGATCTGTTCCTATTATGTTTCTGCCCTAACCCCAAGTGAATATTGTTGTTGCTATAAAATATTCCTAATCTCTACATAATGTTCATATTTAGGGTTGGTAACTTGRTATTATTGTTGCTCTGAAATATTTAGAACTTGATGTTTGCACTATGGAAGGATAGAGTATAATTTATTACCTTTGATATTTGGTAACTTCTAGTGATGTTAGTTGGATTATATCTAAACTCTAGTTTAATTWTGGAGTGCAATTTAAGACATTTTTGTTGGTAATTGGGTTCATCATGTATTCATGTTTTAGAMACTTTGGTCTTCTTTTGGTTTGATTATGTTTAATCATGTGTATGTGGTCAAATTCCACTATTTAATCCTATTTTTGTCATGATTTATTCCCAATTTTTGTTTGAGAAACTTGCATTTTTTCCAGGCCGGTTCCCGGTTCAGATAAAACCAACGGTTAACAGTTATTTTTATCCTTAATGGGTTCCCCAACGGGGATCGGGGAAACCGTGGGGACCCGATGCGGATCTCCGATAAGATCCCTGACGGGGATCGAGATGGTTACAGGGATGGTTATGGTTAACGGTTTAGGGATGGGGACCCTAAAAACCGGCCGAACCCGGCCTGTTGCCATTCCTACCCATAGTTGTTAAAAGCATGCCTGAGGCGTGCCTAGGCTCTGAGGTTCATAAGGCTCAAGGTCTTGGGCTTTTTTAAGGCTAGCCRTATTCACGAGGCTCACTAAAGCCCTGCACCTTGGTTGAGGCGCCTTATGGGCCTAGCCACGCCACATAAAGAGTTATTAATACCAAGTCAAACCCCAATATTAAATAAGTTTTCTCTTCTTCTTATCTCCTAGGCTTCTTTAAGAAAGAGTTATTAAACAGAGGACATAAGTCAAACCCTAAAACTTCTTTRTAACTTCAAGCCTCTTTCTCTATAAATACCCAKACCTTAAAACTTCTCCCTCATGGCTCATGCTTTAAACCCTTCTCCCTTCTGCCTCTATCGAAGTACTGCTGGCTGCTGCACTGGAGTACTTTCTACATATTTGAGCTGTGTATAACTCTGTGTGTGTATATATATACGTATATTTTTTTATAAGATGCGCCTCACATTCCTAGGCCCCGGGACCCCTTTGCGCCTAAGTCCGGCTTGAGCCTTTAACAACTTTGAGTCCACCTCTAAAAAYAATAATGGTTTTTTGGGAGCAGGCTTTGAACAAGGACCATGGTAGGTCCATCGTCAGGGTCCAACTCACTTAAGGAGTATCTTAAAAGATACGRAAATAATGAGGAGGAGGAGAAGAAAAAGCAGAAGAAGCAGAAAAAGAAAAAGAAAAGTAGGCCTGATATGAATGGCGTCCTAGTTGTGGACGAAGATCCTGTTTGGCAAAAGCCAGTTGAGGTTGAAGAAGAAGATGACGAGTCACAAGGTATGCCAAGAAAATTTCTGGTTCGGTAGATTGTTCAGTTTTGATTCTAATGTTTTTTGTTAAAATATAAATGGCTTTGTGATGTACAGATGAAGAGAAGCCGCAAGTTGATGAAGATATTGAAGTTAAGCGAATGAAGAGATTAGAGCAGCTTAAAACCCGGCGCCCTTTTGGTGCCATTTCTGAGGATGGAAGCGGTTGGGTTTCAGTCYCTGATACTGCTAAAAACTTGACTTTGGATGAGCTAAATTCTGGTATCTCTCCACTACGTAAACGTAGTGCTCATGACGATACGTCTTCTCCAGAACATGAACTGGGTCTGTCTATAAAGACACTGAATTCGGACAGTTCTCCACCTCGGAAAAGAAGGGCYCGGAATGATACACCTTCCCCAGAAGCAATGGAGTCTGACAGACGAAATGCTGATGATATCTCCCCACCACGGCGCCGTTGGAAACCTATGTCGCCAGAAGTTAGGAGAAGATCACCGCTTAATACCAGCCAGGATGCTAAACATGGCCATGATATTGACATTTCACCTCCTCGTAAACGAAGGCCTCGTTGTGATACACCATCCCCAGAACCTAACATGAAGCCTTTTAGGTTGGGCAGAGAAGATTCAGATACGACAAAACCACGACACAGAACTAAACATGCTCACACTTCATCACCAGAACCTGAGATGAAACTAACASAGTCCTTTAAGTTGGAGCCTGATCTTTCTCCTCCCCGCAAGGGTCGCCCTCAAGAGTTGGTAAATTCTGATCTTTCTCCTCCTCGACGGGGTCATCATAAATCCTCTAATGAAAATCGTCCACGTGCATCTGTAGTGGGAGATCTTTCACCCCCAAGAAAAAAGAGAGAGGCTAGGCATCAAATTCTTGATGATCCTCATCGACAATCGGTATCAGTTTCTGACCTTTCTCCACCAAGAAAACCTGTGAAGGAATCAGGTTCCTTGASAGAGCTGCGGAAAACTGGTTTAGTTAGTGGCAAAGATATAAAAGAAGAAATTGCTAAAACAAAGAAGGAAGACTGGTTGAGGTAATATTTTCTGTTCTTTGTGATGCTCAATTWTTATTATACATGTATTAAGTTATGCATGCATATCAACAGCTAAGATCCCACTCGTGTTCATTTCATGTCTTATATGTCTTTTCCTAAGGCTCATCAAGTGCATCTGTTGCTGTTTAATTCATTTATTCATATAGTGGGCCAATCAAGAGGGCATGCTATTACTTATGTTCTCACACAAGTACGAGTTCCGATAAATTGGGAGTTTCATATATAAAAAATWGCTACGTGTCTTCGATATGGTAAATGAATGCCATATCTTGAGATATAAAATTTACTGGAATTATTATTTTGGTGTTAAAGCGACATGTATTTCAAATAGGGATGAAAATATACCCTGAATTCTCCCTATTTTTTGTCTCAAAGAGTAACATAATTATTGTTGGGTGAAATGTTRGTTAATGTAGCTCTAAAACTAGGAGGCAAGGATATTGCTCTAAGTAGTGTAGTGGCATTATTTGGTCGGATGAGAATTCCCTGAATTGAGGAACAAATTGCATACATGTAAGCATTAATTCGTGATGCCGATTCCATKTTGGAGAGAAATTTTCCRTGGAATGGGGCTTTGTTCATACACATGGCTTCCTGTGTTCTTTTAATCTTCATCAGATTGCAAAGCTTCTTTCTAACTAAGGGGCTGTTCGGTAATAGCTTAATGAGCTGTATAGTGAATGGCTTATTCAGTAAGCKATACATAAGTGTTCGGAAATGGTTTARTGGGCCAGCAAAGGGCTTATTCGCTCAKCCCTCAAAGTAGAGTCGTATACGTTCAGCCGGCCCTTTTCCCTCACTACCCTTTGAAAAAACACGCATCCTCCTTCTCCATGGATCTATTGCTCTCTCCTCCTCTTGCCCTCACCGTCTTCTTCCTCCTCTTGCCCTCGCCACCATCTTTCTCCTGTTGCCCTTGATCTGTTSTAGATCTGTTTCCATTTCGGAATTTCAAGTATATACATGGTGATGAAACGGATCAAAGAGAAGAAAAAACTTGCTGCCCTCKATCGATCCATCCTTGAAACACCCTTTCAAATCGACCCTCTTCATCTATGGAATCGTCCCTCTCAAATCGGCCCTATGGTTTTYGGTTTCTCCCCATGGTCTTTGATTTCTTCCTACGGTTTTCGGTTTCTCCCTATGGTTTGTCTTCTAGYCTATGGTTTTCAATGTACTTGGATCAGATGGGTTTTCTGATCAGATGTGGTTTCTGYATATGGTTTTGCTATAATTTATTTTTGTTGGTTTCTTCATGTTATCATATGTGTTCTCGATTTCTCCCTATGGTTTTTTGGTTTTTCCTTGTTGCTGTGAGGAACAGGRGAGAAATCGATTGATTTAATGATTGGTTTGGTTGCAGAGGAGAAATCGATTGGTTTGGTGGTTGAATTGAATGTTCAATGTAAAAGGAAGGGTAAGATAGTATTTTTCACCATTCAAATTGTTTATTCAGYATACAATCGAACAACAACTTATCAAATATCATACARACAGATTTATCATTGCAAACAACTTTATCTATACAGGACTTAATGGAAAACGAACCGAACAGCCCCTAAATTTACTTTGGACTCTCATATTAGCTAAGTTCATAAATGTCTCCTGCTTATAATTATGCATCCTCTTTCTATTCTTGGATGATCTCTTCATCTATTTTTGTGTTAGGGGAGGGTGGGTTAAATTTTTATATGGCCTTTTTGTTTGCTTGCTTCTTTTTTCTATAGGTGTCTCTTAGGCTCCCAACCTATAAATTTTTAAGGAGGTACCTGGTTTAAACTTCCAGCCTCCAAGTCCTTAAGGAGGTRACATAAGGAAGAGCTTGCAGCTCCAAATCATTCTCCATTGCTGGGACTAATTTGAATATCTGGTATATCGGTGGACAGATAACTCATACTTAAATAATAAAATAAACATGGACATAAGCCTAACAAAGTAACAATGATGACACCTTTAGTAATACCTCAACATGCCTAGACATAACATAATGCGATTTATAATACGCATCGAGTTGGAGCATTGATGACTTGTAATACCAATTAGAAACCAAGTTGAAAACCAAACAATCTGCTATTCTTCTCAGATTTAGAACTGCATACACAGACTTGACCTCTACCAYAATAGTAGAGCGACTGTTTCCATATGAAGACCCCCGACCTATGCAATGTTTTGTTCTATTCTTAACTGTAGTTTGTCTCTTATATGCGTAAATTGAAACCTCATGAGTTATAAAAGGTTACAACCTCTTAGGTTTGGATAATATACCCTTTCTACATATTGCATGCTTAGTTGGATGATCTCGTTGGTGTCGACTTTTGTTGCTTTTAGGTAATGATAAGATGTGTAGAGCTTTCTCTTGCATGAGATTTTTAGAATCATATTGACYAATCAGTAAAACTGCTTTATAGAAAGTCAAAGTCACTTACCGATTATTGATTATAGGTTTCGGAACATGGATCCTTCTATAAGTGGCCGAGATGCTGAAGGCGTACGTCGTGACAAGAGAACTGGTTGGTTTGAAATTGCTAATGCCTCCTATTTTTTTATACGGTTGGCTATTTCTTGTTAATTATATCTAATTCCACTTTGGGGTCTTTGCAGGGGAACGCTTGTCAAAGGACCAGATCAAATCACTTCAAAAGCAGGAGGAGAAGCCAAAGGTATTGCACTAGTTTTTTTTAATTATATTAGCKTCCTTAAATATATCAAATTTTGTTATTTGAAGTGTATCAAATCAGTAGGCATGTTTCCATTGCTGGCTGAAAACTCATTAAACGCCTACTGATCATCATAAGTTCTTAAGCATATAATCTGGTGCCTATCGTCGCTGTTTTCCATGAAATTATTACAGATAAACTTGCATTCTGTGTTAGCAAAAAGGCTGGTAATAATTCGGGAGTTGAAGAAACTATCTATGAATACTTCCTAACATATATGTATATGTKTCAAACTTTTAGATAAGAAGGGATGCAAGATCAAATGTAAATGTTACTCAAATTGAAGTATTAAGAAAAATGTTTTGGACAGGAGATAAAATTGGAATGGGGCAAGGGTCTGGCTCAGAAGAGGGAAGCAGAGGCCAAGCTGCAAGAATTGGAACTTGAGAAGGACAAACCATTTGCAAGGACAAGGTAAATCATACCTTTTTTCTTATGCATTCTATGAAATTGTTTATTTTATTTCCTGTAGAACATCTTGAAACTTTTATATAAACATCTACACCTTAATTAAAAAAAAGGGAACCTTTAAAGATTTACTGTATTCATATTGTTACATGTGGGTGCGTTTTCAGAGATGATCCTGATCTCGACAATATGCTGAAGGACAGAGTGAGATGGGGTGACCCAATGGCACATCTAGTGAAGGTAGTTATGTTAACTGAGGAYCTTGGTTATATTTTTGTGTGTGTGTGTGTGTATATCATTGACATTATTTTCTCCAATGTTTCAGAAGAAGAGTTTTGAAATTTCTCTTCCAGATATGGGAGAGGACGAAAGAATGAAGGCGTCAGGTTTTGTCGTTCCTCAGGAAGTTCCTAATCACAGYTGGTTGAAGAGGGGATTAGATGCTGCACCAAACCGCTATGGTATCAGACCAGGACGACATTGGGACGGTGTTGATCGTAGTAATGGTTAGTCTAAATCATTCTTCCTCATTCAAATGCTTGACATTGTTGTTTCTTTTAGAGTTTTCATGATCGTGTTCTAGATTAAACCCGTTCCTCTTAATCACCATGATATATATATATATGTATATATATATAGGGGTGGGTTTAAACGAGAAGACTAACCTTATATACACATGAAGTATTTTTAAAATTAAAACCTGGGGTGTGCATGCGACTTGACCTGCAACCTAGGTCATAGCCAAGGTCACCCGACTCTGATATAGTATCCCATGTGATTATTATATAGGTGTTTTGAGTGTTTTCGTAGGGTGTCCTCGTTTGAACCCACCCAATATATGCGTTGTGTTATTAGGAAAATTGGGGGTGTTTTTCACATTTTCAGAAAGTCAACAGACAAGATGACAGTTATACTGATATGACAAACATTTGTTTCAAAATGGACTAAAAAAGCATTCCAATGCCACATTGCTTATTATTGTGCATATTGCCTACATGCCATACTTTAGGGGAAAAACAAAGTTATCATACCCTACATTTATCTTGTGTATATAGATGGTTAACCCTTTTTCTATATACCCTTCCTCCCTCCCCCCCCCCCCCCCCAAAAAAAAAAACGTGACGTTTCTTTAAAAAAAAACATCGATAGCATTTGATTTTGATCTACAGAATTCCCATACTGTGTTCTTTCATTATTGATA